ACTCACGCATGTATTAAGGTCTTTAAGAATCGAAAGGATCACTTTTAGATTGTGCAGGACTGCTTAGTGAACAATGGCCGAGTGCTTGTGTCGGCTAAATATAGGGCACACGTATTGCGGGAGCTACATGCTGGACACCCGGGTATAATGCGGATAAAACAGCTGGCAAGAAAGTACGTTTACTGGTCCGGAATTGACGAAAACATTGAAACATTTGTCCGCAGTTGTGGCCCGTGTGGACGTTTCGCAAAGAACCCCCGAAAATCCTACCAGCGTCGTGGCCGGAAGCCACGAAAACCTGGAGTAGGATCCACCTGGACTACGCGGGTCCCTTTTGCAGCAAGATGTTTCTCATCGTGGTTGACGCGTGGTCGAAATGGCTAGAGGTTTTTGATGTTCCAGTAATCACGGCGGAAAACACGGTGCGGAAAACTGAGGAGTTAATCTCGAGGTACGGAATCCTTACAGAGATTGTGACAGATAATGGGACACAGTTTACCTCAAGCACATTTCAACAGATGTGTCAAAAATGGGGGATCAAACACGTAAGGTCACCGCCTTTCCATCCCCAATCCAATGGCCAAACCGAAAGGTTTGTCGGCACATACGAAAGGGCAATGAGAAAGATGTGCAACTCAGGTGTCAAGATGGAACACCTAAACACATTTATGTTGGCCTGTCGAACGACGACGAAAACGGAGCTAGGGGGATCAACTCCGGCAGAAATACTTCTGAGCGGACAACCCGATGTGCGTCTGCAATATCTGAAACCTGTGGTCCGAGAGGATCAGCCGCGAAAATCCTGTTTAGTGGAGGGAGAGGAGGTATACGTCCGGGATTACGTTCCAGGAAGGGAACCCTGGATCAAGGGTATAATCAAAAGGGCCCATGGTGTAGTTTTTGAAGTTGAGACAAGTCGAGGACGTGTGAGAAGACACGCAAACCAGTTGAGACACCGAATGACGTCAGACAACCAACTCGCCATGGACCTACTTTGTGACACTTTCAGTATCCCCATTCCGAAGGTTGAGGTTCCAAATGTGGTCCAGGCCCCTAGGCGATCCTCTCGAACTAGGCGCCCTCCGAACAGACTTATGATCCACCCAAATTGCCGAACATACGAGGTCCACTCATTAAGAGCGTGAGGTGTTAGGACGACCCAGAACACGACGCACCGTTCCTGTCGTCCGGGGGTCACGCATGACAAAGAACCGCAAACTCGCCGGACATCCTTGCCTAGGAAGCCCGCGTGTGAGCCAGACATTAGCACGCCGCTGAGTCATGCGCGACCTCCAGGGGCCAGCAACATGCGAGGGCCTGCCCATGCGGGCGCTCCGGATTGGACCAGTAGGAACACGCAAAGCAGACGAAGGCTGAACCCTTAAATACGAAGCCACGGACGGAAGGATTAAGCGTTGGTGTACACAGAGTGACTGGCATAGAAAAGGTGTTCTGTGGCATTCTGTCTGTCTTCTATTCCGCACAGTCCTGGCGTCATACCATTTGGGGATATAACATCACCCATTTGTGTTTCGAACTCCCCAGACATAAGGTCTGGCGCATGTACTGGGGGTCCGATCGCGTGTGACACGCGAGGGCGGGACGTCTAGTTTTGCCAGCCACCACATCCGCGCCCACCTACGGTCAGCCAGACATTGTCTTGCCATGGGAGCCGGTTAGGTGACTGGGAGGACAAAATGCGACATATTCTGCAGAAGTCTGCCTCACCACAAAACACATTTTTTTGAGTAATCGCTGATACTTCTACTCCGTAGGACACTCAGTGAACATTGCCGCTTACGATGCCCGGACTGCAATGCAAACATACCGGCTACTAATGAACGAAGGTGGTTGAAAATAAGTCATCTACTGGACCGCCTGCAGACACAAGGGTTGTAAAATAAACAGCCACCTGTTTTATCAACCCCTCGTAGCCGAGCTCCAAAAGCACAAAGAAGAGTTCAAATTAAAATAATATTACAGAGATAAAGATAATCTGGTCGATTCAGGAATGCAGAACTCGGCGTCACTAGAAATGCACTGGAAGGTGTACCGTGAAGATGGGTAACTGGTGGAAGCAGTGAGCTGGCAGTTGGACGGTGCGCCATTATCAAAAATTTCACAACAAAAGTACGAAGTCCCCATGCAGCGCAGAATTATGAGGCCTAAAGCTATCCGCAACGTCGCGTGACAACTTCCCATAATATAAGAGGAAACTGCGTCCACATGCGTCCCTGTTTTCCATCACTTGTGTAAAAGTTCTCCTGTCATTCCCATGGACCGACAATCAGAAGATGGAAGAGGGGATGTTGGAGTCGACAATAGCACACGCACGCACCTAACTGGGGTGCAAACATGACAAATGGAGGACGAGGCGTAAGGAATCGGGAGTGCGCAATACGTGTGGTGGGAAGACGGCGGTGGGGGCCGGCTGGAGATCAAGCAGACATATGCAAATGATTTCACGGGGTCCCCCGCTGAGACTACCAAAGGACGCGGCAGCTTAGGCGCGGTATTCAATTGTTCACGAAGGCGAAAGATCCTGCTGTCGGCTTTTCAGATGGGAAGAGTGTGCCAGGGAGTTTCAAGCAAACGCTAATGACACAGTGTGCACG